ATCTCTATTTTTTAAAAAGTGTATGGTTCAGTGGCATTATGTACATTCGCACTGTTATGCTACCATCGCCACCACCCATCCATGGAACTGTTTTCATCTTACAAAACCAAAACTCTGTGCTCACTAAACAATAACTCCCCATTCCCTCTCCCCACAGCCCCTGGCAACCACCATTCTATTTTCTGTTTCTATTAATTTGACCTTTGACTTTTTTAAAAAAGTTGTGGTTAAAAAGTCATAAATTACTATCTTAACCATTGTTAAGTGTACAATTCAGCAGTGTTAAGTAGCAGCTTCTTTTTTTGTTTTTTGAAGACGGGGTCTCATTCTGTCACCCTGGATTGCGGTGCTATGATCTTGGTCACTGAAGCCTCAACCTTCCAGGCTCAATTGATCCTCCCACCTCAGCCACTCAAGTAGCTGGGACTACAGGCGGGTGCCATCATGCCCAGCTAATTTTTGTATTTTTTTGTAGAGATGGGGTTTTGCCACCTTGCCCGGGCTGATTTTGAACTCCTGGGCTCAAGCAATCCACTGGCCTCAGCCTCCCAAAGTGCTGAGATTACAGGCGTCAGCCACTCTGCCTGGCCTGCAGATTATTTTTAAGGTAGTTTTAGGTTTAGTTAGTGATGAATGCAGAAAAGCCCAAATAACAGTCGCTTAAAAAAGGTTGTCCATGGCTGCCCTGACAGCTCCACCATCACCAAGGACTCAGGCTTCTATTTTGTGCTTTGTCATTTGCAACACACAAATTCCATCTATCTCATAGTCCAAAATAGCTGTTCCAGTTCCAGCCATCACCTCCACATTCCAGCTAGCATAAGGCGAAAGTTGGGAGAAAGGCACACTTTCTCTCTTCTAGAGCCCTTCATAGAAATTACACATACTATTTTGTGCTTATATCCCATCGGACAGAACTTAATGACACAGGCCCATCTCACTGCAGTGGAGCTGGGAAATAGAGTCTTCTGGATCACACGTTTCAGTTCTAGTTTATGGGTCCCATTGCTGAGAAATAAGAAGATAATGCATGTTGGGGAACCCGCACTGATGTCTTCCACAACTTCCCTTCCTCATAGTGCTGATCACTGCACTGAAATTGATTCCTCCATCTTGTTGGGCTGTAGACCCCTTCAGTCAGGGGCTTGTGTCTTTTATAGCTTAGCACAGAGCCAGGTGCATTTAGGTGCTTAATGTTTGTTGTACAAATACATGATTTCAGCCCAACCAGCTTATTGTTGGTTTTTAAGAATTATTGTTTGTATTATTTTTTTGAGAAAAGGTCTTGCAGTGTTGCTTAGGATGGCCTCAAACTTCTGGGCTCAAGGGGGCCTCCCAGCTCAGCTTCTCAAGAAGTTGGGATTACAGGTGCCTGCCACCGCACCAAGCTCTAATACTTTTTTTTTTGAGACTGAATCTCACTCTGCCACCCAGGCTGGAGTGTAGTGGCCCACTGTAACCTCTACCTCCTGGGTCAAGCGATTGTCCTGCCTCAGCCTCCCAAGTAGCTGGGATTACAGGCGTGTGCCACCACACCCAGCTAATATTTGTTTGTTTATTTATGTATTTATTTATTTTTTAGTAGAGACAGGGTTTCTCCATGTTGGCCAGGATGGTCTCAAACTCTTGACCTCAAGTGATCCACCTGCCTTGGCCTCCCAAAGTGCTGGGATTACAGGCGTGAGCTACCACACCCTAAGTTTAAGACTTACTGAAGTGAAGCCCTAAAGGGGGAAGAGACTAGAGTCCTGTAGTCCATGTTGTCACCAAATTCAGGAAACTGCTTTACTGCACACTTGGCAGGTGGCCTCCACCTGGCCACGCCGGCTGCCAGGCACTCCCCGCCTGCACTGCTGGGCACCTCCAGCCATCACAGCCCCTTCCTGGTGCAGAGTCACACTTGGCCTCCATGGAGCTGCTACACTGGTCCTGCACCACCCTCCATATGATGTGTCTATATCCACAGGTCCCACTGACCCCAGCTCTTCCTTGTGCTGGGCAAAGATGCCTCCTATGGGTCTGCATAGGACATGTTTCTCCTTGAGTGTGTTGGGGACATTCCAGGCCTGAGAGTGTCCTGAGGCTGAGAGCCCCTGTTGAGCAGAAGCGAGCTGATGGCCCTCTTGCCTGGCCAGGACTCTCTGAAGGACTCCAGCTCGAACATTTTCTCACCAGTGAATGAGGTGATTTACTCTTAGACTTGGGATTTATTTCTTTCACATGTAAAGACACCTTCACAGCACCAAAGCTGCAGATTCAGAGAGGGACATCAGGTTGAGGAGGCGGGAGGGATGCTGTGTAGATTTCTTTGTTGGCCAGTGAAAGTCCCCACATCTCACGGAGATCCCCATGCCCTACCCGAGGAAGCCTCTAGATGTCAGAGATGCAGACATTGCACGTCTCAGTGGACAATCCAGTCCAGAAATGGGGGTGCAGAGAGGGGCTTCTGTTGCTCTTGAGCGGGAATTCCACAGCCCTAGGTATAGACTTAGGTGCTGAAGGGGGACCCAGGAGAGAGGTGAGGACTGGCGAGGGAGTGGATGGGGAGGGGTTTGGAGCATGTGCACAGGAACCAGGGCTGGCCCCAGACCTCTATAATTACCTGAGTTACCACAGACACCCCACAACCTCCACAAGGCCTGCTGACTTGACCACAGAGGGACCCACGGCTGTCGCGGACTGTGGCTGAAAGTCTGCGGGCTGCCAGCCCTCGGCATGGTCATTCTGGATAGGTTTATATTATTTTTTATTTTTTTGACATAGAGTCTCACTCTGTCACCCAGGCTGGAGTGCAGTGGCACAACCTTGGCTTACTGCAACCTCCGCCTCCGGGGTTCAAGTGATTCTCCCGCCTCAGACTCCTGAGTTGCTGGGATTACAGGTGCACACCACCATGCCTGGCTAATTTTTGTATTTTTAGTAGAGATAGAGATGGGGTTTCGAAGCTAGTCTGGAACTTCTGACCTCAAGCGATCCACCTCCTCCAAAAGTGCTGGGATTACAGGCGTGAGCCACCGCGCCCAGCTCTGGGTAGGTTTGTGTTGTGAGGCCTGATGCTCTGTTCTTCTCTTCTTTCCTAAAGTCCGTGGCCCTCTGGTGGCCTCTGTGGCTTCTTCAGCTAACCTCACCCACTGTGGGCCTCAGGTTCTGCTCCCCTAAACATGGCTGCAGAGGGTAACACCATCTCCCAGCACCCTTCTAAGAGTGTGGCTGCTAAACTCTTCAAGGACACAGTACTAGAGTGTGACAAAGACCCCATAGGAGGAGTTACACAGGTGCGAGGCTTCACACGGTGCCGCTCATTTCCTTCCAGAAACACCTCCATACTCTCTTACTACCCTGAGGGTGGGGCTCCCCACATTTCTCTGGCATTTGATCTCCCTTCCCCCACAGCAGCTCTTCTCACCAAGACGCCTTTCCTTGGCACGGTGCTGGCAGCCCAAGCAGGGCTGAAGGAGAGGGGCCTGTGTCTCAGGGGTGTTCCTCCCTTTGGAGTGCTCTGGGTTGGTGGCATCTTGCTAAGGGGCTGTCAGCCTCCCAGCCTGGGACACGGACAGCTCCTCCTCCTCTCTCTGTGCATGGTAACTACAGGGGTGGAAGGCAAGGCAGAGAGGTTGACAGGAGGTAGCAAGAGTGGGAGCCGGTGGCATAATTTAGATCTGAGGCCTTTAAGAAAAGTGCTCAGAAACAATCATCCTACCCAGTGCTAAATTATCAGATGAGTCAGCCTCTGGGCAGCTGTCACCTTCCTCCCCCAAATTCCCTGGCAAAGCAGGGAGGCTGGCTTGGGGCTGCCTCTCTAACTCTGAAAGCAATTGGAACCCACAGTTGCCCTGCGGTCCCCCTCTAGCCCCCAATCCCAGGATGCTCGCTCCCATTTTACTCTACTTTTAGGGGAGGAGCCAGGGATGGGGCTCAGTGTTCCCTCCCTACTCCCAAAGGGACAGTATTTGTCCCCAGTCCTTTCTCCTGCCAATGCTTTTGGATTTAGGAAGTGATGCCTCGAGGACATGGGCGTCTCCCAGTAGCGAATGTGCCTGGAGGGGACATTTCTGAAGAACTACCAGAGCTGAGAATTAAAAGCAGACTGCCTAACTTAGCGCAGGTTCACGCAAAGCCACTTGTGCGTTCAAGAGCCAGGGCAAGTGGTTCGGCCCATGTGTTGGCAGGTAAGCGTGTTGTTCTAGCCAGGTGAGTCAGCAGACATGGGATGTTTGTTTATTTGGGCAAATGTGTCTCGTTAGGGTCATTCTGAAAATAAGCCCAGTGTGCAGTCATCAGCCCCTGGGGCAGCGTCACTACTAAGTGGTTGGGGAGAAGTCAGGAAAGAGAAAGAGGTGGCATCTCCCAGCCTCACCTGTGGAGGCCCCAGCGAAGCAGGGCAGGCAGGCACTGCTGGAGGAGCGAAGGCCAGGTGGACACGAGGACAGATTCCAGAGGCTTGGTTTTATTGTGCAGTTTTCTTTTTCCTCAATGAGATGCCATAAGCTGTGGTGGCACTATGCACAGTCACAGAACAGGAAGAACCACCGGGCGGGGGCTGGGGGTTGGGAAAAGCCATTTCCCGAGAAGTGTCCAGCTCCTGGGTCTCACTCCATGGCCTGCCTCGGGCCCCACAGAGGTCCCTGAGAAGGCAGGCCTGCGGGGCAGGGGGCTGTCTGAGGGGCTCAGGCACCAGCCAGCAGGGGCTGGCACTGATGGGCGAGGGGAGGAAGTGCCTCTCTTAGAAACTTGGGCCAAACTCTGTGCAGCTCTGGGACTCCACCCCACCTGACTTGGAGGCTGTGGGTCAGAGCTCTGGAAGCTCTTGGGGGCTTGGGACAGCCTGAGAGGGTCTTGTCCTCCTCTGTAGCCCTCTCCACTGTGGGTGGAGGCAGGGAGGGATGATGAACCCTCATCCTTTACTTCCTCCTCCAACCCTCCACTAGTGCTGCTTTCCCGGTCAAACCTGCATCTTCACCGGCTCATGCCCCAAAGCCCTTGGGGAACTTGCACAGTGGTAAGGAGGGCTGTTTTTATTTTTATTTTTGGTTGTGGCTGAGAATGCTAGAGATGCTCAGTTCTCTCCCTCACAAGGTAGACCACAAATTCTTGGTGGTGCCCTCACATCTGGGGTCTTCAGGCACCAGCCATGCCTGCCGAGGAGTGCTCTCAGGACAGACTGTGTCCATGCTAGGTTCAGGCACAGCCCAACCACTCCTCATCCAAGTCTCTCCCAGGTCTCTGGTCCCAATGGGCAAGGATGACCCCTCCAGTGGCTGGTACCCCACCATCCCACTACCCCTCACATGCTCTCACTCTCTATCAGGTCCCCAATCCTGGCTTCCCTCTTCACGAACTCTCAAAGAAAAGGAAGGATAAACCCTAAATAAACCAGACAGAAGCAGCTCTGGAACAAAGAGTACAAAAAGACAGCCAGAGGTGTGCGGAGAGGGTGAGGTGCCGCGGGGATGTGGGTAGATAATCGCATGCAGCACTGGGACTCCTGATGAGGGATGGGGTCCCCACTTCTCCTCGAGGTGTGAGGGACTGTGGAGAGGGGGTCAGCCAATTCAGAGAAGTAGGATCTCTGCACTGGAATTTGAGGCTTCCTGTCTCCTCCATGGGCCTCACCAGTCACAGGGACATGAAATCCGTGGCCTGGAGAAGGGAGAGGGAGAGCAGGAGCAGAAGCAGCCACGAGGTGTTCTGAGCCAGCAGGCTGATGCCCTCACACTTGACCAGTTTGTCTGCCGAAAGAGAAGAGGGCCAGGGGAGGGGTAGGAAGGAAGAGGGATCAGGAGTCAGTAAGGCACAGGCCCAAAGCAAGGGTATACTCCCTTTGAGAGGCAGGTAGCGTGACGTCTTAGGTGGGACCAGGAGCAGCCTGGCCTCAGAACCAGCCATCTTTCCCGTTTGCAGATTACTTACCTCTTGCACACATATCATCTTATGAAAACCTTACTAAACATCATCACAAGAAAACTGGCTGAGGGAAGTGGTGTCATCCCTGTTTTCCCGTTGGGGAGAGGGAAGATTAGGGAGGCCAAGGGCCTTGCCCACAGTTCTGGTGGAAGCATCTACCACACTACTCTGCCTGTCTGACTGGCCCTGAGCTTTTCACCCCATTTACACTGAAGGCAATGGTTCCCCAGTTGACCAGGCAGCAGTTGGGAGAGGGTGAGAGAGTTATGGGGCTATTCTCCTCTCCAGCCCAGCCAAGGAAACTGCCTGCTGTCCCCGAGCCTGGCTCTCCCAGTTCACTTGGCCTTTTTAGGAGTTTGCCTCACCTCTGAGCACAGTGACGTTCTGGGAGGAGATGGGCGGGGAATGGCCAGAGTGGTGGAGTGCACACGTGTAGGTCCCCTCATCCTTGCTGGTGAAGGCGGATAAGTAGAGGACCTTCATGTTGTATTTGCTGGTGAAGTTGGTTCGGGAGCGGTATGTGTGCTCAGGCACCCCCACGGTGCCAAAGAGCACGTGCTTCTTTGTCTCACGGGTCAGGCTGAACTCGTACTGGATGGGTGAGCTGGTGGTATTCTCATGGCGGCAGTCCAGACGAAGGCTCTGGTCCACTAGGCAGGCCGTTAGGCTGGTCACCTTCTGCCCTCGGGAGACCTGCAAGACTGGCACCAGCAGTGCCTCCTTCAAACTGGAGGGGCCTACAGCGTAGGCGCCTCCCACCCACCTGAAGTGGAGAGATGGGCCTGGCTAGGGAGGGGACTGGGGTCTGCTCTCTGAGTGCCTTTCCCCACTCCAGGGATCCCACTTCTCCTTTGCAGACCCCAGCCTCCCTCCCAAGTCTGCTTGAGCCTTGGATCCTATCAATGTGTTTCAAGGACAGGAGATTTTGGGGAATTGATACAGGTTCTGGGTTCTCAATTGGGGATTTTAGTTCAATAGGAGGGAGGGCTCAGCAAACTGTGTTTCCAAAAACCACCTCAGGCCGTCAGAGTATCAGCGAGGTGGGTTGGCTGACTTTGGGATGAAAAGAGCCCTCTGAAAAACAGTCACCTGCGCTTTTCTGAGACTGTGAGGGAGAAGCCACTTCTCTGGAGGGAAGGAAGCCAGGGTGCCTGGAGCCCCAGCCCTGCCCCATGCCGGGTACCTGTTAGCAGGAGAGCGATGCTGATGGCCGGGTTCATGGTTCTGGGAGCTCAGTCCTGGATCTGGGTTGGGAACAGGATGGGAATCAGCCAAGGTGTGCCACACTTACTGCCAGGGCTGGGAGTCCCTGGGAACATGACATAATGGCTATGGCAGACATCTGAGTCCCTCTCTCCATCCCCACTCTCGTCCCTTCTTCTCATTGAACATGATACAGCCACTGGCTCTTTCCTGCTCAGGGAAAGCAAGTAAGGAGGGAGAACAAGCCCTGTCATGGTGTGTTTCTGTGCTTAGCCATGGAGCACTGACTAGCTGGGTGCCTTTAAGTGACTTTACCACTCTTTCTCCTCTTCTTACATTAACACAGTGTATGGTAATGTAAGACCTATGAGGGCCAGGGCTTCCTATTTTTTAAAAAAATTTAATCGTGGTAAAATACAAAAAGCAAAATAATTACTATTTTAACCATCTCCGGAACTCTTTTTGTCTTTCAAAGTAAAACTCTGGATCTGTTAAACAAAGACTACCCATTTAGGGACTTCCCATTTCCTGTTCAGAAGAAAATCCCCAATGCTCAAAACCATTTCCATTTGCAGATTACTGGCATATAGCATACACTCCAAAGATATTTATTGTGAATGAATGAATGAATCTCTCTGAATCTTACATACCCACAGGGTTATGATGGGAGTTAAGAAAAACAACCAACATCTGGCGATGACTGCTTCATATAAGTGAGCCACAAATCCCTAAGTCATTCGCCATCCCCAGTGGATGGCTAGAGACCATCCACCATGGCTAAGGATGCTCCCAGATAGGGAGCATCTATTCCTATCTGGATAGGGCACAGGCTAAGCGTGTTCCCGGAGGAGAGAAAGCCACAGTGATCTCCGATTGTATGTGAGTCAAGGACGCTTCCCAATGTCCAGCTCTCTGGAGTTCCTGGGACTGCAGTTTTCTAGCCCAGTTTCAACAGCCACCCTGGCTAGGCTGTCTGGTCTTTTTGTTTTTGCAGCCTTGGCTGAACCAACCCTTGGCGAGGCGAGGCGAGGCGACGCGGAGCCGGTAGCCCAGCCTGTCCGCAGAGCAGTGCTCGCCTAGGAGAGGCCACAGAAGGGGCGTGCACCCGCGAGCGCGCGCAGGGCATTGCCTCAGTAGAGTGCGCCCGGGTGCGCAGGGTGCACCACTCGCCGAGTTCAGGGTCCCTGGCGCTCAGCCCCTTGACGGGTGAGGCTAGGATCCTGCGGCGGCTGCAGCTACAATCAATGCTCTCTCTGTCCCGGGGTGGAGCTGCTGCCCTGAGTCAGATCCAGGAGGAAGGGGGGTCTGCATCTGGCTTTTGATTCGAGGACTCTTGTTTGAGATGATGTGAGGGCTTGGGATCCAGGAGGGGAAGGGGGAACAGTGGCAAGAGCAAGAAAGGGAAGAATTGGGTCTGGGGCTGGAGAGGGTAGAAGAGCCAGGGGAGGGGTGGAGAGCGGCTGGGGAGGTTCAGTCTGTATTCATTTCCTCTGGTTTGTGTCCTCAGGCGGCTGCAGACCCGGAGAAGGTCTGCTCTTCCTCCCTCTCAAGCCTCCGGCGGGCCTCACCCTTATTCCATTTCCGTATTCCAATCCTCTCCTTTCTCAGCTGAGTCCCCCTTCCCCCTCTCTCATCCTTTTCCAGTTCTCCCCTCCCCCGTCCGCCCGCCTTCCACCCAGTCCCCGCCTGCGGCATTGCGGCTTCCTTCTCCTCCGGTGCCCCGCACCCAGCCCGCCGCGAGGTCACCGGGCAGATTCCCTCCACTCGCCATCCTTCGTCCTCTCCCCGCAGTTTCACCCGTCCTCCTCTCCACCTCTGCGAGCTGGGTTTGGGGACTTCTGGGTGGAACGTAGACCAACAGTTTATCCTTGGTGCCCTTCCTCCCTGTTCTCCAGCGCCCCAGCCCCAGACACCCGTCCCCCAGCGGGCGAAAGCCCGGGAGCGCCTTCCCCGAAAGACGTCGCGGTGCGACGCGGCCCCTGCCCTGCAGTAGCATCCCACTCCCGCCCCTGCCTGGAAAGCAGGCCCCTCCCTAAGCTCTGCGCCCTCTTCCCTGGGCGCCCTCGGACCGTGGCCCGAAGCCTAGTGTTGGGAGGGCTTGCATGGGCGCTTGACGGCAGTCCCCGAGCCCCAGGTCCCGCCGGCTCCAGTTCCCACCTGGACTGGGGTCTTCCGCTGCCACAGCCTCCTCCAGACGCGCCGCCGCCTCCGGTTGCTGCACCCAGCTCGGAGCCCGCAGTTTTCACCGGGGATGGAGGAGAGGGGGAGCGGGGAGCCGGGGGCTCAGCCAATCAGAGGCGGAGATGGGGGGAGAAAGGATGGCAGGGTGGGGTGGGGGGGTGGGGAAGGAAAAGAAGGCGGTCCCGTACTGGTGTGAGAGTGGCAGGTTGCGGCGGAAGGGGGCCCTCATCCTGTGGCCGGGGATCAGTGTGGGGGAGCCCAAAGAACATTAGCCTCCTCTCTGAGCCCCGCAATGGTGGTTCCCCTTTTAACGCTTTAACCCTTTTCTTATGACCTATTCTTCAGAAGTCTGTGGGAAAGCCACAGTGTAAGAGGTGCAGGATGCAGGCCGGGAGCGCCCACGCCTCTGCATTTCCTTTTCAGCTGGAGCCCACCTCCTCCGGAGCCTCCAGTGAGAAGTTTTGGAATATTCCAGTCTTTCTGAAAGGAAGCTGGTTGGGTGTTTTTCAGTGTTGGAGCAGCCCTTCGGAAGCAAGGCAGGCCCTGGACCCACCCTGTCCGTCCCTGGTCCCCAGCCCCATTTCGCCCCCTCATCTATTCCAGAACACCCAGCCCTTCAGGGGGCCTGCGGGTGCTTTTTGCTCTGGGCATCACATCTCCTTCAGCCCCTGGGCTGGCACCTGCTGGTCCAGACAGCTGGAAGGTTCTTCTGGCTTTCTTGAGTACAGTCTGCTTGTTTGGTCTTCAGACCAGGGAGGGAGGGTTGCCTTTCAGCAGGCACTGTGCTGGGCACATTACATTCATGGCCACCTTTACCTCACGGCCGCCTGCTGGGTTCATCCCATCTCAATCCTCACCTCCTGTCTTGGCTGGTAAGTGGGAGAGCTGGAGAATTGACCTGGGCTATGGAACCCCAGTTCTCAAGGGTGAGCCATTCCTCTTGCTCATCCCTGCCCGTTGGGAGAGGAGAGGAACTCTGGGAAAGAGGAGGAGACAGCGCCACAGAAAGGACTCAGTCGAGGCCAGCTTCTGATCACCTGGGGCACTCCTGATAACCCACCAACTGGATGTCACCAGAAGCCCTAGGCTCATTTTTGTAGACAGTGCTGATGACTTGTCTCTCACTCACAGGTGTGGTGAATTTTTTGAACCAACGTTTATTTGGTTGATTTGTATCCTGCCGGTCTCTATGAATTCTGGTGGAGACATTCTGTGGGCTGGCCCTGCCTCTCCACTGTCTGCCTGCCTGTTCTCCTATTTCTTCATGGAAGTCAGCCCTGGCACCTTCCCTGCAGTTTCTGATACTGCAGTGGCCCTGTTGGAAGCCACTGTTGGAAGCTTGCAAGTGGGAGGAGATTCGCTTGGTTTCCCAGCATTTAGGGTGATGGAACATTCTAACTGGAATGAGCCTTGCAGACTGTTAAGTCCAAAGGAGCTATTCACTTTGGTAAACCGCAGAGGCTTCTAGGGCATTTTATGAAAAATGCAGCCCACCTTGCCCACCTAGGACCTCCTTAATCTAGTACTAGAGCCAGCTGAGTCTGCACTTCTCTCATGCTCCCCAGGATCTGGGGACTCTAACACATGATCTGGTAAGACTGTCCCTCTTCATAGGCGAGCTAACCTGGCTTCTTGTTTGTAGGGTACTTTTTAAGGCCATGGATGTCCTTGCCCCTTGCTGCTGACATCCCTCCTCCCTCCAACTCCATCCCAGCCATCTTCCCTTTCATCTACCTGATGCATTCCAGACATGCTGGCTCTGGCTTCTTTCTGTCTCTTCATGGCAGTGTGTTCCTTCCTGCTTAACAGCTTTCTGAGTCTGAGTCTAGGGATCTTAACTGCAGAAGGCATCTGGGCTCTGCTGGCTGAGACCCTGGATGCTCTGTTTCCCACTCTTTGGCCCTGTCTCTGAGTGTTGCTGCGTAGAAGGCCTAGCAGTGCTATTTTGATAAGGTTATGAGGACCTGGCCTAATTTCTGGGTCCCCAAGCACCTTGCTTTCAGGAAGAGGGGGGGGAAGCATAGACTGTAGAAGGTGTGGCAATTCTGTGTCTGCCAAAGCAAGATCTCTGATTGGTTGGAATTAATGGCTCAGATGAGACATCTGAGGTCAGGGGATAGACCACAAGGTGGTGGAGGGAGGGAAGAGATTTTAAAACTCCATTTACTGTGGATAGGATCGGAGTGCTGAAAGCAGCAAGGCTTTAGAGGAATCCAGCTAAGGCGTGACTTCCTGCCAGAAGTCTGTGGCTGCCCTGTTGGTCTCTTAGATCTCTCTTCTCCCACCATCTCCTGTTGTCCCACTCAGAAACACATGGGGATAAAAAGTCTTCTAAAAACACACAGTCCTTTAGCATGACCTAAGGACTGCCAGCCATTCACTCATTTCATCAGATTGTCTTTGTAGAATCACAGAGGTGGCTACAGCTTTCCCATCTTTTACATTTTATTTTATTTTATTTTTGAGACAGGGTCTCACTCTGTTGCTGAGGCTGGACTGCAGTGGTACAATCACCGCTCACTGAAGCCTTGACCTCCTGGGCTCAAGTGATCCTCCTGCCTCCGCCTCCTGAGTAGCTGGGACCATAGGCACTTGACACTATGCTCAGCTAATTAAATTTTTTTTTTTTTTTTTTTTTAAGAGATGAGATCTAACCATGTTGCCCAAGCTGATCTTGAACTCCTGGGCTCAAGTAATCCTCCCGCCTGGACTCTCAAAATGCTGGGATTACAGGCGGGAACCACTGCACCTGGCTTGCCCCACCATTTTATAGCTGGGACTTGAGGCCCAAGAAAGGTAATGATTTGTCAAGGTCAGACAAATATTTTGAAGAATGGTCTGGACTATTAGATCTTAGGTCTCCTGACTCCGTGTATAGTGCTCTGCAGTGCTCCCAGAGCAGATCCTCAGATCTCTGCTAGACTCATTTCCCTGGTTCATGGTGAAATAAGTAAAACGAGGACAGTCCGGGGTACTCTGAACATAGCTGTCAGGTTATCACCTTGTTTTGATTTTATGTTCTTCACCCTATTGATGAGGGAGAGATTCTCACCCCCTAAAGTTAGGAGGATCACAACATGACCTCAACACTGGACAAAAGAGATCAATAGCAGTTTATTAGTCACATATGCTCATACCCAGGAGGATAACACTGCATGCCATGGATTGCTACATGGGAGTTGCACTCAGGGATTACCAGGAGCTGTGGGAGGCAGGCTTTGTAATGTCAAAACGGTGGAATACCCCCGTTTCCTATAAAAGAATGTGATTGGCTGTTTGCGTAATTCTGTGGGCTGGCACGGTGCTGAAACCCACTACTCAGGGATAAGCAGAAATTGTGCCTGGCTCCCACAATAAGGAAGGTGGTTTGGCTGGGGGACCTCATCAGCAAAGTAGGGAGGGGATCTTGTAATCAGGCCATTTGAGGTCTCACTGATATCAAGGCA